ACTGAGCCATCTCTCCAGTCCTTATTATTATTATTATTATTATTATTATTATTATTATTATTATTATTATTATTATTATTATTTTGGTTTTTCCGAGACAGGGTTTTTCTGTGGCTTTGGAGCCTGTCTTGGAACTAGCTCTGTGGACCAGGCTGGTCTCGAACTCACAAAGATCCGCCTGCCTCTGCCTCCCGAGTGTTGGGATTAAAGGCGTGCACCACCATCGCCCGGCTATCTGACGTCTTTAAAGTGATCGAACTACTTACTAAAGAAGCCAGGATTTGAACCGTGTCTACAGAACCACAGGGCCCTTATTGAAACATTTTTCGTAAATTTTCCAGAGGTACATAAAAGCAGAAAGTTGAGATGGGATAGCAACACGGGTTTGGAAATATTCCCATATATCGTAGCACTAGAGAGCCCGCCCACGCGCCGGAAGTCGTGAGGCCAGGACTACATATCCCATATCCCAAAACTCTCTGCGGTGCTTCCGCTTTGGTGACGTCGTAAGGACGCTAGCGCGCGGGATTTAAACTGCAGCGGTTTAGGCGGCGTTATTACTGAGCTGTATTAGCAGAGTGATTAGTTTCCCAACTTCTTGCATTTGTTTTACCTGCTGCTGTTCTCAAGTCCATGGAGTCGCTTCACGCCCGATTGTTTCCTGGTCTTTCCATCAAGATTCAACGGAGTAATGGTGAGGACAGGGTCCTGAGGCCAAGGGGACGCAAGAGCGGTGAGAATGCCAAGATGGTTACCCAGCCCCCAAACAACAAGCTTTGGAACACTGTTTTCCCCATCCCACAATGAGGGGTTCGATGTCCCTGCACTGGTTGTCGGTGTCCCCTACACTGGAAAACATTGCCCTCCCTGGTTGTGGGTCCTTTGCCAGCTTTCTGGGTGTGGGCGGAGCACCTCTGCTGTGCGCCTGAGTTACACGCGCCTAGGTTAGAGCCCGTGGCTGTACTTCTGCGGCATCTTTCTCTGAAACTGCTCGGCTTTCTAGCCTCCAGACGGGGCTGTGTATGATGCGGTTGCAGTATGTTAGGCGCAGGGATTCAAAGTTAATGAGCAAGATCCCTGCTCTTAAGGAACTGGTAAGACAATCTTATGTTTGTATTAAGCGATGACTACAGGTCGAATAATGTGTCATTTGTGCGATAGCAGACAACGACTGAGTTAGGGAAACCCGGGAGGTCAGCTCTTATTAACTGATGCGGTCAGGAGCAGCTCCTCTAAGGACTTTAGTGACTTCCTTGCTCAAATGAACCTTCATTCTATTGCAGAGTCTGAATCGGAGATGAATACTTACCCTATGTAGCTAGGGTGTCAAGCCTGTTCCCTATCCACCTAACTGTGGGATGGTCAAAGGGTGAATCCCCACCAGGATTATTAGTGTTTGTATTGAGTTTTAAAAGGGGTGGAAACTGATTTTCCCTTCCTGGGTAAATTCTATGTTGGAAGTCTCTGTAGGATCCTAAAAGCTAAGTGGAGTATAAAAGTTAAGTTCTCAGCAGGCAGATGGTTAACCTCAGATCTTTTCATACACAGGCTTAATTCACAGTGCCAATATAAGCACAGTGAACTTGGAGAAATCCTGTGTTTCTGTGGAATGGACAGAAGGAGGTAACACAAAGGGCAAAGAGGTGAGTTCTATGAGAATGTTTATATGGCGTTTACCTGTGAGAGCCCGGTTTCTGAAGTTGTGCTGTCCTCTTTGGACACGCTTGACCTTCATTTAGTCAGGTGTTCCAAATTGAAGCAATTAGCTTCTGGTGTGTCCCTGGAGAGCAAATTGCAGTGGATCTTCTAAGGTTTTGCTTGTTTACCTAAACTGGGGTATGAGTGCACGCTACTGCTTCAGTTTGGGTAACAACATTAGTAACCCAGGAAAGGAAACGCAGGTGTGTTTTTCCAAATGCCAAATCATAAAGCCCCTGGTGATGGAAGACACAGGTGAACAGTGGAAGATGCGTTCCAGGTGGGGTTTGGAAGGGATGCGAAGGCTACTGGCAGGTATCAATACTGATGTCTGAGTTGTAAAGCTGGCTGGCCATAGGCAGAACAGACAGAGCAGACTCAGGATGCTTTGGTAGCAGCCAAAAGACTGAAAAGAAACTGGAGAGTCTTCATCTCTGGCAACCACGGTGTTTAGATTTAGTAGGGAACCATGCAATATTGAGAAAAGTAGGAGGAGGCATGGTGCTCTGAAAAGTCATTGGTCTGTGACTATAAAAACCCAGATTTCTAGTCTGTCTCTGCCTCTGCTTTGTATACACAAAGTCTTCCTAGTCATGTCACTGCTCTTAGAAATTCATTTGCTGCCGGGCGGTGGTGGCGCACGCCTTTAATCCCAGCACTCAGGAGGCAGAGGCAGGCGGATCTCTGTGAGTTTGAGGCCAGCCTGGTCTACGGAGTGAGTTCCAGAAGAAGCTCCAAAGCTACACAGAGAAATCCTGTCTCAAAAAAAGGAAAAAAGAAATTCCAGTTGCTAACCTATGATGAAGGTGACAATGACAGTGTCTGCCTCAGAATATTGGGAGGATTTAGCCACAGAGCCTTCTGAACTGATTCCAGAGGGAAAGACCATGCATTGAGGGTTGGGAATGTGGGTGAATAAGATGCTCTCTCTCACTGAGTGTCATAGGGTAACACAGGAAGGTCTGCTGTGGTGGTGCGTACCTTTTCTCAGTGCTCAGAAGGCAGGGGCAGGCAGATATGGATGGGCTTGAGGCTAGCCTGCTTCACATAGTGAGTTCTAGGCTAGCCAGGTCTACATAGTGAGAGCCTGTCAAAACAATATATATATGTATACACACACACACACACACACACACACACACACACACACGTCTTTTTCCTTTAAAGAATACTTGTGCCTTGCAGTGGTGTTGCACACCTTTAATCCCAGCACTTGGGTAGCAGAGATCTCTGTGAGTTCCAGGTCAGCCTGATATGCACAGTGAATTCCAGGACAGTTAGAGCTGCATAGTGAGACCAAAAAAATTGTGTGTGTGTGTATGTGTGTGTGTGTGTGTGTGAGGAGGGAGGAAGCGCCTGAGTGTCATGGTGCACATGTGTCCCGTGTGAGGATTTCAGGACAAGCACGGGGAGCTGTTTCTGCCCTTCCGCCTTATTGAAATAGGGTCTTTCCTTTCCACTGACATAGTCCTCCATGCCTGCTAGCTTGGGAGGCTCTGGGTGAGTCTCCTGTCTTCATCTTCCATCTTGATTTAGGAATGCTGGAATTATAGATCTTCTGCCTGCCCACACAGAGTCTGTGGCCAACCTGTATTAAATAGAGAGACCCTTTATCACAGAGAGAGAATGGGGCAACGGTAGCACCATCTTTAATTCCAGTACTCAGAAGGCAGAGGTAGGTGGATCTGGGGTTGAGGGACAGGTCTACAAAGCAAGTTCCAGGACAGCCAGGACACTCTGTCTAAAGAGAGAGAGAGAACGAGTATGTGTGAGATCTGTACAAGTGGGGAGGAGACGGCTTCATCAAAGGCCTCACATGTTACTGTATTACTCCACTGAGCCACATCTCCGTCTCTAAAGCCTCTTTTAAAATCTTACTCCAATCACATAGAGTAAGATCCACACTCCCCGCTCTACTCATGCCTGTGCCTTTCTGTTTTCACACTCTTGTTCTTTGTCCTAGGATGCTCGGTGTGACTATATGTAAGAGACTTGGGATGTATTGCGTCTGGGCTCTTGTGTTTATGCTCTGTGTAGTTTGAGGCTTGAGCACAAGGTAGGAGCGTGTGGCAATCAATGCAAGGAGTGTCCTCAGGACAGTGGTCAGTGCAGTCCTTGCCAGCTTGTGCGAACAGTGATGCTGTCCTCATCTGACCAATGTGGCTTGATTTCTACCCCTTGGAACAAATGACTTCTCTTTCCCATTAGAATTGGAATTCACAGAAAGGTGCGATACTGAGTTTCTCTTTAGTTACCATCTCTTGCATGCCCTGGCTTACTCGTTCCTGACACGGTTGAGCAAGGCTGTTAATAAATACAGTCTGGACTGGAGGTATAGCTAAATGATAGAGCACTTGCTGTGTCTGTTAAGCCTAAGTACCAGCTCCAGCACTGTAAAAAATAGAAAGTAGATGCAGTGGTATTTAGGTGGTAAGGCTTTCACCCTAGGGTGTTAGCTTTGTTTCAAAATATAAAGCAGGTGAGATCCATTTAGTGTCCTGTATGCATGTGTGGTGCTGGAGAGTGGAAACAGGGCCTCACACGTGCAAAGAAACTTTCCCTCTGAGCCACCTCCCGCAGCTGGATTCACTGCTCCAAACCTGAATTGTGCTGGTGAAGCTGTTCCTAAAGAGTTACAGGACTCTGGTGATGTAAACCCAGAATTGTGACCTCATTGTGGGTGTGAGCAGGAACTAGGAAAGGCATCAACAGGAAGGTGTGACCGGGAAGAAGTTTCTGGGCCCAGTAGAAAATGTAGGTAGACTTAGCGTTAGGTAGCAGCTTTCGGGAACCTACTCCTGCTTTAAGATCCCAAGAGGCCCTCCAATTTGACTATCACCAGCCGGTTAGAACACGTTTCCTCCTTCGTGTCAGCCAGCAGGAAGTGCTCAGGGGGCTGTGACCAGCAGGACATCAGTGTCCAGCAGATCAGTAGGACAGCCAAGTGGCACAGGTCTACTGTGGACTTCTGTGTGCCTGCCTGTCTGCTTTCCTCGCCACCTCCTCAGCACTCACAGTCTCCCGTTGGCTTGGAATCTGGAAACCCATTCCATCTAGATGGTAAACCATTACTAAGGAATAACTATTTTGTAGTGCTCAGTGCTTAATGGAACGTAAGGTTGGTAAAGCCCAAATCGTGCCTGGCTTGATTACAGCCATTCATTTAGGTCAAGGACTGTTGCTTCACTGAAACTCTCTTGTCCTTGCAGATTGATATTGATGATGTGGTTGCAATAAACCCAGAACTCTTCCAGATTCTTCCCTTACACCCGAAGGACAATCTGCCACTGCAGGAAAATGTAACAGTCCCGGTAAGTGCCTGCCATCTGACCATAGCTGCTGTCTGTCCCTGAGAAGTCACTTGTTCCCTTTTTGCTGATTCTGTCCTGGACTGCCTGGGCTCTTATCACAATCCAGAGGCTCACAAGAGGACCCCGCCGACTGGTAAGAGCCGTACGTTGTGGCAATTTGTTCTGTTTTTCAGAAGCAAAAACGCAGATCAGTCAACTCCAAAATTCCAGCTCCAAAAGAAGGTAAGTGGCGGATTGTTGTCATAGCGTTTTTGCTGTGGGTTGAGGGTCCCAGGGCCAAAGTATACTTCTTGCCCTAATGGAGATGTGACTTCTGTATAAGCTGGGTTCTCCTTTTTCAGCCATCTTTCTCTGGGAGGAAGAAGCCAGCCTACACCTAACCTCTAACCTCTGAGAGAACTGTACATTTCAGACATTTGTTCTCTGGCCTAAACACTTGTTCTATGGAGTCTGATGTGGGGGAGAGTGAGAATCAGTTCCTGTTCGGCCTGCTTCCTTCCCTCAGAGCCCGAGCCTTACAAAGCGGCCGTGAGGAAAGCACAGGTGTAGTTTTGGGCTCTGCGGGCAAGCAGTGGAGCTGAAGATGCGGCTGTGATCCTCACAGGAAGCTAAAGCAGGAGCATGGAAAATTCTAGCTGCCTTGAGCTATGTAAAGAAACTACTGCTGGACGATGGTGGTGCACGCCTTTATTCCCAGCACTCGGGAGGCAGAGGCAGATGTTTCTCTGTGAATTTGAGGCCAGCCTGGTCTACAAAGTGAGTTCCAGGACAGCCAGGGCTATTACACAGAGAAACCCTGTGAAAACCTTGAAAATAAAACAAAATTAAAAAAAAAAAAAGAAAAAGAAACCATCCTCCCACCCAAAATAAAGCAGCTGAGGGTGGTGGTGTACACCTTTAATCCTAGCTCTTGAGGCAGGAGGATCTCTGAGTTTGAGATCAACCTAATCTGCATAGCAAGTTCCAGGACAGCCAGAGCTATATAGAGAGACATTATCTTCTGTATCATTCCAATTTTAGCGTATGTGCTGCCGAAGCGAGCACAAGGGACGTTGTCTCAAAAAAAAAAATACATTAATAATAATAAAAATTTAAAAGTAAAAGGGCTGGTGGGATAGTTTATCAGCTCAGAGCACATCACACAAACCTCACAGCTTGAGTTCCATCTTTAAAAGGAGAAGGAGAAGCTGTACCAAGTTGTCCTGTGATCTCTACGTGTGACATGATATACAGGTCCCGTAAACACGTGTGCACAGCCTGCAAGAAAGTGCATGTCATCAAGGGATATGGACACTTTCCTGGTGGTTGGTTTTGTTTGATTTTAGTGTACGTGCGCGCACCCGTGCGAGTCAGTTCTCTCCTTCACCATGGTTACCTGATGAGCTATTGTGCTGTTTTATTTTCGTTGCTTTAGATTCATATTATTTTTTAAAAATTCTGTGTGTGGGGCTGGAGAGATGGCTTAGTGGTTAAGAGCATTGTCTGCTCTTCCAAAGGTCCTGAGTTCAATTCCCAGCAACCACATGGTGGCTCACAACCATCTGTAATGAGATCTGGTGCCCTCTTCTGACCTGCAGGCATACACACAGACAGAATATTGTATACATAATAAATAAATAAATTAAAAAAAAAAATTCTGTGTGTGTGAGTCTGTGCTACACATGAGTGCAGGAGCCCAAGGAGGCCAGAGGCACCGGATCCTTCTATATTTGGAGTTAGAAGCCACTGTGAGCCACCGGATGTGGGTGCTAAGACCAGCCAGTCCTGTGGAAGAGCAGTATACTGTACATTCTCTCAACTGCTGAGCCATCTCCTCTCTCCAGCCCTGGTGTTTTGTTGGTTTTTGTTAAGGATTGTGGTATACTGTCTGCATGTATGCCCGCACGCCAGAAGAGGGCACCAGGTCTAAATACAGAAGGTTGTGAGCCACCATGTGGGTGCTGCGAATTGAACTCAGGACCTCTGGAAGAGCAGCCAGTGTTCTGAGCCATCTGAGCCATCTCTCCAGCCCTGGTTTTGTTTTTTGAGGAAGGGTTTCTATGGAGACTCACTATAGTGCTCAGGCTTGCCTCAAACCCGTGGCCCTCTTGTTTCATTAGTTTTCTAAGTGCTTGGATTACAGATTAGAGCTATTTGACTTTGTTGCTTTGCTGAGGATTGGACCGAAGCCGTCTAAATGCCCTACAGCTCAGCTATTCTCCCAGCCCCGGAGCTCCTTTAGGTGTGTATATGAGTCAAAAGTAGGAACAGAGGTTGGGGAGATGGCTCAGTGGGTAAACTGCTTGCCATGCAAGCGTGAAGGCTTTACTTCAGGTGTCTCACCACACATGTAAAAACCAGACATGATGCAGGTGAGGCAGAGACAAGACCTCCAGGGCTGGCTGGCAAGCGAAAATGGTGAGCTCCAGGTCCAGAGAGACACTCTGGCTCAGAAATGAAGGTGGAAGGTAGTACAGGAGGAAAATCAGTGTCTCCTCTGGTCTCTAAGCATAGCCTGGTGCGTGCCCTCTGCATAGTCTTGAACACACTTCTGTATGCCACATACATACACAAGTGTGGAGGAAGAAAAGATTACAGAATTTCCAGTCACTCGCCAACAAAATTATGGGGTTTGAAGGAAGGGATTGAGACGGGGTTTGTGTAGCCCAGGCTGCCCTCCAGTTTGCAGACATACCGTCTTATCCTTCTCAAAAGTGTTAGGACTGTGGCATGAGCCTCCTATTTAACTTGCTTGGAAAAAATGCTTAAAATTTTTATTTATTTATTTATTTATTTATTTTTGGGTTTTTTAAGACATGGTTTTCTCTGTGTAGCCCTGGCTGTCCTAGAACTCGTTCTGTAGACCAGGCTGGCCTCAAACTCAGAGATCTGCCTGCCTCTGCCTCCAGAGTGCTGGGATTAAAGGTGTGCACTACTGTGGCCCAACTTTGGTTGCTTCTGCTGTTGTTGCTGTTAGTTTGCTTGCCTTTTTTTTTTTTTTTTTTTTTTTTTTTTTTTTTTTTTTTGAGACAGTCTCGCTGTGACCCTGGCTGGTCTAGAAAATGCTATGTCTATCAGGCTGCTCTTAGGCTTTCAGGGGTCTGTGTGCCTCCCTGGTGCTGGGTTGAAGGCTTGGCTAGTTGTTTCTCTGTTTTCCTACAGCTACAACTTAACTGTGTCTCAGTTAACTGTTGTTGAGATCCTCTGGGCTCTGGGGCCGTGGTTAGCCTATTCTGCTAAGTATCTAGAGCAGTGAGGAGAGCCCAGACCTTGTCCTGACAGCCTGGGTGTCTGAGAAGTGCTCTAGCACTTATTAGTTGAGTATTGGGCAAGTTATTTAATGTCCTTGAGCCTTACCACTTTCTTCCAGGAGAGGGGCATATATTTGCTATGTAATGCTTTTTTTTCTTTTTGTTTTGTTTTTTAATTAAAATTTATTTTACGTGCATGGGTGTGAAGGTGTCTGAGTGCCTGGCACTGGAGTTACAGACAGCTGTGAGTGCTGAGGATTGAACCCAGGTCCTCTGGAGGAACACCCAGTGCTCTTTAACTGCTGAGCCATCGCTCCAGCACCTTTCCTTTGTTTTAAATCTGCCTCAGCCTCCTGAGTGCTGGAATTACATGCATGTACTACCATGGCCCGTCCTTATTTTGTTGCTGTTATTGTGATAGTCTAGGGAAGGAACCTAGGCCCTGTGCATGGTGAGTAGATTCTCCACTCAGCAGCATCCTCCAGGCACTCCCTTATGTTTGCAGGTGTGGGAAGATAGTAGGGGTAGGGACCACTGCTGTTAAGAGTGCTCACTCTTCTTCCAGAGGACTAGAGTTTATTTCCCAGCTCCTGTGCCTGGCAGCTCACAACCGCCTATAACTCAGCTCTAGGGGATCTGATGTCCTCCTCTGGCTTCCTGGAGCATCTGCACACGTTTGTGGTTACACAGACTTATACACATATACATACAGTAAAAGTGAATCCTTGTTTTGTTTTTTTGAGACAGAGTTTCTCTGTATGGCCGTGGCTGACCTGGAACTTGCTCTGTAAACCAGGATGGCCTTGAACTCACAAAGAGGTTTGGGAATAGTGGTCCTTGGTCTTCATGCTCTTTCCTGGGCTCTCTCGTCCAGGTGTCTAGGTTCTAGCCTGCCTGTGCACTCTCCTGCTGCTTTAGCTTACCCCATTGTGCAGCACTGATTGGTCCTCCTGGTCTTAGGTCTTCGAAGCCGCTCTACTCGCCGCATGTCCACTGTCCCCGAGGTTCGGATTGCCACTCAGGAAAATGAAATGGAGGTGGAGCTGCCTGTGACTACAAACTCTCGCAGGCAGTTTTCAGTTGCCAGTGAGTAATCTGTGTGTTCTCCCTGTATAAGGCCTAAAGCAGCTCCTTATGCCTTATGTGTGCCGTGCTTTCCCAGGGTTCTTAAAGTAGACTGTGTAGCTCTGGAACTTGCTCTATTATAGACCAGTCTGGGCTTGACCTCAGAGATCCCGCTGCCTCTACCTCCCAAGTGCTGAGATTAAAGTTGTGCACTACCATGCCGTTCGTTCTGTTTGTTGCTTTGAAACAGGGTCTCTTCTCGTTCTGTACCCTACAGTAGCCTGGAACTCACTATGTACCCTAGCCTGGCCTTGAACTTGTAGAAATCATTCTCAGTCTCCCAAGAGCTGGGATTACAGGTGGGAGTTACCATATTCAGTTTAAAATTATTTTTTTTTAAAATATTTATTTATTATTTATTATGTATATAATATTCTGTCTGTGTGTATGCTTGCAGGCCAGAAGAGGGCACCAGACCCCATTACAGATGGTTGTGAGCCACCATTAGGTTGCTGGGAATTGAACTCAGGACCTTTGGAAGAGCAGGCAGTGCTCTTAACCGCTGAGCCATCTCTCCAGCCCTAAAATTATTTTTAAATTATACTTTTTTACTTACTTTAAGGGTGTTTGTTTGGTTGGTTTTTCGAGACAGGGTTTTTCTGTAGCTTTGGAGTCTGTTCTGGAAATCAGTCTGTAGACTAGGCAGGACTCGACCTCACAGAAATCCGCCTGCCTCTGCCTCCCGAGTGCTGGGATAAAGGCCCACACCGCCACCACCTGGCTAATTTAAGTTTTTTTTGACCCCAGGTGCGATCCCTGGCTGGAAAGGGTGGTTGGATTTGGAATGAGGCAAGAGGAAAAGTCCACGTTGTCCATGATCTGTTCAAATGCAAGTTAGGACAGCTGCTCTGTGCTTCCTGCATCCCCAGTGACTCTTGTTCTCCTACAGCTGGCCTCCCTAGGCCCTCCTGCCCTGCAGTGACAGAATTACCATTGTTGATGGTCAGCGAGGAGGCCGAAGAGCAAGTCCACCCCACCCGAAGCACGTCTACTGCAAACCCTGGGAATTCAGGTTAGACATGCCGAGCTGCGTGCTCTTCTGTTGTAGCAGGATAGGCAGTTAACACCGGACCTGCCTGGGCACCTGAGTTCAAACCCTTTTTTACCTCGAAGGTAGATTTCCCCATGGTTATGGACAGTCTTCCCCAATACACACGAGTTTGCAGAAGCCGTTTGCTGTGGGTGAAATGTCCTCGCAGCCAGGTTCTTGAGAACAGCCAGAGTGCTTGTGAAAAAGTAGCATATCTTACCTTTTCTGTTTTGTTTTACTTTGAGACAGGGTTTCTCAGTGTGACAATCCTGGATGTCCTGGAACTTGCTCTGTAGACCAGACTGGCCTCAAACTTTTTTTAAGATTTATTTTTATGTGTATGAGTTTTACCTACAGGTGTGTCTGTGCACCATGTGCATGCCTGAACCAGAGAAGGTCAGAAGAGGGCATTGGATTCCTTAGAACTAGTCTTATAGATAGTTGTAAGCCACCATGTGGGTGCTGGGAAACAAACCTTGGTGTTCTGCAAGAGTGAATGCTGTAACCACTAGGCCATCCTAACCCTGTCTTATTTTGATTCTAGAGAAAATAGCTGCAGAAGCATAGAACATAGGTCAAAGCCAGAGTGGTGTGGCTGTTGCTGTGACCTCACATTAGCCCAGTTAGTACTTCATGGACTTGTCCATCCAAGAGTCAGACAAAAGGCTGGAGAAGGGGGAGGGGTGTTAGTGAGGTGGCTCAGCATGTAAAAGATGCTTGTCACCAAGTCTGATGACCCGAGCTCCGTTTCCACGTGGCAGAAGGGGAGAACTGACTTCCAGTGCATGGCATGGCAGGGACATACACACAAACACTAATTTATAAACAAATAGAAGGCTAGGCATGATGACACATAACTTTGATCCCAGCTCTAGAGAGGCAGAGCAGGGCAGATCTCTGAATTTGAGGCCAGCCTGGTCTATCTACAGAGTGAGTTCTGGGACAGCCAGGGCCACAAAGAGAAACTCTATCTAGAAAAAAAACCCAACCAACAAAAACAAAATAAATAAAATCAAATGGAGTCCACAGAAGGAAGACCTGTTCCTATGGAAGGCCCAGCACTCAGTGGAGTAGCCAAGTACTACAGCCCAGAGCAGGTGAGTAAAGAGTGACTTCCTTTCTTCCTTAGTTCGGAGGAAATCATGTATTGTGAAGGAAATGGAAAAGATGAAGACCAAACGGGAAGAGAAGAGGGCCCAGAACTCGGAAATAAGAATAAAGCGAGCTCAGGTGACTCTTGGGAGATGTGGGTACCCTGACAGATAAGCAGTCAACATGTAGCTGGCCCTAGCGTTTCTAAGGCTCCTATTCTCGTATCCTTGAGGCTTACTTGCTTATCAGAACTTAGAAAATAAATGCATAATTCAAAAATTATCTAAAGATGTTCATATGAGCCATACTTAACGTTGATTGGCCAGTGGGGAAGTCCATCATGTGCTCACAAGGTCCAGCACTGTTGCTGGGCATACCTGCTTGCTTTCCCTCCATCCCTTGTAACCTGTGTTACAGGGCAGACGCAGTGTCGGTGGAGTCTTCTTAGTTGGGTAATTGCTCTGAGGAAACCCATTCTGCTGCTTTGCCTCCTAAGACGTGGAAAGCTACTCTTGTTGTCTCTGGTGCATGCCCAGGCTCCCCCCCCCCCCCCCCCCCCCCCCCCCCCCCCCCCCCCCCCCCCCCCCCCCCCCCCCCCCCCCCCCCCGCTAATCCTGCACCCCAGGACCTCATGCCTGACTTCTCCGAGTAGAGCCAGGGTTGAGGCCCTCATCAGCTGTGAAGCTGTTGCCGCCTGGTGTCTTGGGTCTAAGAGCAGCTCGCATGTTAACAGTCTGCCTTTGTTCTTGCCTCCAACAGGAATATGACAGCAGCATTCCAAACTGGGAATTTGCCCGGATGATTAAAGAATTCCGGGTTACTATGGAATGTCACCCACTCACTGTGACTGATCCCGTGAGTATACCAGAAAGTCTTCCACCTCCCTACCTGAGCAGGGCAGGAAGGACACTGAAGGGCAAGGAAAAGGCATGTGTGATCCTCACTCACTCTTGAGTGCTATCTGGAGAGTTTTCTCTTTTTTTATGTTTCTCTTTTTTTCCACTCCCGTTCCTTCTGTGCACGTGTTTGTGCAGTTCCAACTCCTCCCACCTCCCCATCTGTGTGTCTGTGTATGTGTGTTTCTGGGGATTGAATCCAGGACTACCGTATATCTGAGCACACAGGCCCATTGAGATATATCCCTTGTGGGATCCTCCAACACGTTTTTGTGTTTTAATTTTTTTGTTTGCTTACTTGTTTTGGTTCTGGTTTTTTGGGACAGGGTTTCTCTGTAGCCCTGGAGCCTGTCCTGGAACTAGCTCTTGTAGACCAGACTGGCCTAGAATTCATAGAGATCCGCCTGCCTCTGCTTCCTGAGTGCTGGGATTAAATGCGTGTGCCACTACCGCCCGGCTCATGTTTTGCTTTGTTTTTTAAGACGGTGTCTCAGGGTTGGAAGATGGCTCAGTAGTTAAGAGTACTCGTTCTTCCAAATTACCTGGGTTTAGTTTCCAGCACACACATGGCGGCTCACAGCCAGCTGTAATTCCTTCCCCTTGGCTCCCATGTGATGCACAGACAGACATGCAGTCGCAATAGCCCTGCACTTTTAAAAAGGTCTCACTCACTATGTAGACCAGACTGGCCTGGAACTTGCTGTGTAGACTAAGTTGGCTTTAAACTGCCTGCTTCATCTTACTAGGCCTGGATGGAGGTGGGTTAGGACTTCCCACAGGGCAGGGAAACTTGATTGCTCTTTGGGCTAATGAGGGAGGGGGACTTGATTGGGGGAGGGGGATGGAAATGGGAGGCAGTGACGGGGAAGAATCAGAAATCTTTAATAAATAAAAAAAATAAACTGCCTGCCTCTACCTCCCAAGTACCAGGATTTACAAGTACATGCCACTACATCCACTTAAATGTTTTTCTTTTAAATTCTGTTTGTTTATACCATGAGGAGGGTACTTGAGCACATTCCTATATGGAAGTTGGAGGATAGCTTCCAGGAGTCAGTTCTCTCTACCATGTGGGTCCTAGGGATTGAACACCAGCCATCAGGTTGGTGTAGGGAATCTACCTGTACCTGCTGAGACAGCTCACTGGTTTGTCTTTTCTTTTTTCTTTTTTTTTTTCTTTTTTTCCCTTCCACCCTTGAGAGAGTCTCAATGTATGCCGGGATTACAGGTATATGCTGTGAAACTTGGCCTTTTTAAAAACAAAAACCATTCTGTGCGTGCATGCATGCCATGGCACACAAGCAGAGACCAGAGGGCAGCTTACTGGAGTTGGATCTCTCCTATCGTGTTTGTTCTAGGGATGGATCTCAGATCATCAGGCTTGACAGAAGCGCCTTTACCCACTGAGCCATCCAGTCAGCTAGTTGTTTTGTTTTTCAAGACAGGGTTTCTAGGTGTAGTCCAGGCTGTCCTGGAACACACGTTTTAGACCAGACTGGTCTTGAACTCCCAGAGATCCAGAGATCCTCTCCCCTCGCCTCTGTCTTCTCTTCAGAGTTCTAGGATTAAAGATGTGTTCCACCACTGCCCAGGGTCAGCTAGTTTGTTTGTTTCATTAGTCAAGGCTCAGATGAGACTCCCTGCTGCAGGCTGGCCAGACTGCTAAGAACCAGTAGACTGTGAAGGTAGCGGAGTAAGAACCAGGAATTTAGAACAGCTTTCTTGTTCCCTAGAGTGGTTAACAGGGAGACTGAGGTCCGAGCATCAGATCTCATCCTCTCTTGCTAGGACCCAGAGAGGGGTTGAGGGTGTTTTTTGGTACTGTCTGATCTTCCATGTCTCCTCATCCTCCTGCAGATCGAAGAGCACAGGATCTGTGTCTGTGTTAGGAAGCGCCCGCTGAATAAACAAGGTGAGCTGTTTAGTTAGAGGCATCGGACTGACTGAGAGGAAGAGCCCATGTTTAGGAGCAGCCCCTGAAATATTCTCCTTCTGCAGAACTGGCCAAGAAAGAGATCGATGTGATTTCTGTTCCCAGCAAGTGTTTCCTCTTTGTGCACGAACCAAAATTAAAAGTGGACTTGACAAAGTATCTGGAGAACCAGGCCTTCTGCTTCGACTATGCCTTTGATGAAACAGCTTCTAATGAAGTTGTCTACAGGTTAGTCCCTTTGGTGTCTTTTCTTCCTCGTGTCCCTTTCTCCCCCATCACTTTCTCTTTGTGACATCAGACACTGAGCTCCTCCCCTCCTCCCTGGCCTGTTGTGTTTTATTGTGTTGACTAAGGTTTCTGTTCTGCCTGGTTCCCATAGTCGTTAAATCCCAAAGGAAACGCACAGAGGTCTACATTAATTATAAACTGATTGGCCTAGTATCTCAGGCTTCTTATTAACTCTTATATTAGCCCATAAATTTTGTCTGTGTTAGCCACGTGGCTTGGTACCTTTTTCGGGGAGGCAGTCACATCTTGCTTGCTCTGTGTCTGGCTTCCTTTCTGTCTGGGTAACTGCAGACTGAAACTTCCCTCTTCCCAGAATTCTTTTTTTTTTTTTTTTGGTTTTTCGAGACGGGGTTTCTCTGTGGTTTTGGAGCCTGTCCTGGAACTAGCTCTTGTAGACCAGGCTGGTCTCGAACTCACAGAGATCCGCTTGCCTCTGCCTCCCAGTGCTGGGATTAAAGGCGTGCGCCACCACCGCCCGGCCTTCCCAGAATTCTTGTTGCCCCGCCTCTACTTCCTTCCTGGTCACCCAGCCTATACTTCCTGACTGACTACTGGTCAACCAGCGTTTATTTAAAATTCAAGTGACAGGGTAGAGGCCATTGTCCCACAGCATTATTGGACCAGCTCTCTGATCCAGGGGCTCTGGCCATGTCACCAGAATGCTGTAGCAGCCCAGTCTTGCTGACTCACGAGTGAACTATTACCCACTGTACTCAGGTCCATGGGTGGGTGTAGGGGAATGTCATACAGTAGTGGTACTGGAATATCCTGACTGTCGGGAAGCCAGGATATACTTAGAGCTGCAATAGGACAGCTAGGAGGCCGGAGCTGCAATGGGACAGCTCAGCCCTGGAGGAAAGGGGTCCTGACTATGGGGGAGCTAGGATACCTGAAGCTGGGGTGCAGTGGGGGATGGTCTCCCCACAGGATATAGAGATCCTGCTCTTCTGGAGAGCCGCTACAGCTGAGTTCTGCTCTGTTCTCTTACTGGAGCGTTCTAGCAGAGCTCTCTGCTGCTTCTCTGGCCCAAAATGTTTCTTCTGCTAAAGGGAAGACCCTTGCAGAAATCTAGCAGTCTCCTCCTGCTCCAGCGAAGGCCTTGCTGAGGCCCCCTAGCAGGCACTCAGGGGACGTCATAGCCAGGTTCTTCTCTGTACCAGCTAATGAATCGTCACCGAGACTCTTCTGAGAAAGAGATTTTTGGGGGGAAGGAGGAGTCCAGGAGAGTGGCTGTCTCTGCCACTTAGTGACAGCTCTTAACTGAACCGGTGGAGAGGCTTATATAGGGCTTCTCAGGGAGCGGAGTCTTCCCAGGGAGAAGGGGATTGGTTATTTTTTCCCCTGCTCAGGGATTGGTCAGTTTAGCTGGTCAGGGGCAGAGCTGGCTCTGACTTCATGGCCAAACTGTGTTTCTTTCACTGGTTCTTTTTAGCTTTTTGACTCTAATCTTAAGGACCCGGGCGTATTTCTTTCACTGGCTCTAATTCTAGGGACAAAGTGTGTTTCTTTAACACTAGTTTCAGAACCAGGGCACGTGTCTTTAGTCCTGAGTTCAGCGATAAAGATGTTTCTCTCCCTGGCCCAGGTCCCAAATACAGGTTGTGTTTCTTTCTCAGACTCTGGGTTCAGAGTCTGGGTGTTCAATGATTGGTCAGTTTCCTGCTCCAATTGTCTTTCCCCTACAGTAGCTACCAGGGGTTCTTCTAGTTGTTGGGGCAGAATCTTATTCTGTAGCCCAGGCTAGCTTAGATGTGTTACTCAGATGACATGACAATCTTGCCTCAGGCTTCCAAGGGCTGAGATTACACCTTCCAGTGGCTTATACAGCTACCTCATGACCTAAATGAGTTTAGCAGACAGGTGACGTGACGTCAGATCTTCTCTGTCCAGTATCCCACTCAGCATTTATGTATTTATTTATTTTTTTGTTATACATGTTTTCAAGACCGGGTTTCTCTACGTAGCACTGGAACTTGCTCTGTAGACTAGGCTGGTCTAGAACTCATAGAGATCCACTTTCATCTGCCTCCCAAGTGCTGGGATTAAAGGTGTGCACCCCCACTGGTGGTGGCAGTGGTATGTGTTTGCGCATGTGCACACACGTGCGTGGTATGCCGTGGCGTGTATGTGGAAGTCAGAACAACTCTGAGAAGTCAGTTTTCTCCCTCCACCTTGAGTGTAGAAAGTACTTTTATCAGCTCAGCCATTTCTCCAGCCTTAAAGGATTTGGGTTTGTCATTTTCTTGTTAAAGAGGTTTGGTGGTCCATTCCTATACTTCTGGCCCAGGGGAAGCTGAGGCAGAATGGTCTTAAATTTAAGACCAGACAGTGCTTCATAGAATTTCATCTTGGTTGCTTATGCCTATAAGCACGTGAGAAACTGAGCCAGGAGGGTCTCTGGATTTAAGGCCAGTCTAGGCTGTATTTTGAGACCCAAACTATGCCAAAGACCCTATGTAGTTCACAAATGCAATATTTTAGGTCTGTGTGTCCTCTGCCCTTTGTAATAGACCCTGTGGTTGTATCTGGGGATCAGAGGAGTGACTGTTTGCCTTAAAGTCAGGGACATCAGCTTGTTCCTGGCAGGTCAGTTGAATACTGCCTGCACCCCTTTCATTTAGCTAGGAATTCAGATTGGTTAATGGGATGGATCAGGGTGGACTGTAGGGATAAGTCCCACCCCTTAGGGGGCGTGTTCACCTCAGGCTAAAGTTTGCCTATAAATTTGGCGAGAGTGCTCCCAGCGCTCGCTTCTGCTTTCCTGGTCTCCGCAGGAACGGTGGTTCTGTAAGTCTATTCCTCCATTAAAGCTGTCTATATTTTGACAATCTGTCTGCATTCGCTTACGCCGATGGGGAAGTGATGTGGGAGTGTCATATCAATCTGTTTTCATTGGTTAAGCAATAAAGAAACTGCTTGGCTGGCCCTGATAGGTTAAAACATAGGTGGGAGGAGTAAACAGAATATATAAAATTATATGCAAGTAACATGCAGGCATTATGCCATTTAGTATGAAGGACTTGACTGAGGGTCGACTCAATAGTAAAGTGTTGGCCTCGCATGTGCTAGACCCTGGGTTCTGCCCCACCACAAAAAAAGTAAGTGATTTAAACATCAGCTTTGTGCTGAGTATCAGTGGGTGCTTCCATCAATCCCTCTTAGATATTAAGGAATAGCTGCACAAATGCCCTTCTCTCTGCTCCATCCTTTCTCTAGGTTCACTGCAAGGCCACTGGTACAGACGATTTTTGAAGGGGGAAAAGCAACCTGCTTCGCCTATGGGCAAACCGGCAGTGGGAAGACTCACGTGAGTATTTGAGTCCGGCAGAGAAAGCCTTGTGTAGTAGAGCAGTCGGTTCTTGAGGAGTGGTCCAGATGCCCGTCACTAGCCACTTGCCCTGCCGGGTGAAGAGAGGAGTTCTAACAGGTCCTATCTCCTGGCTCTGGCGTGACCCATGGTGGTGGTAGAGCCAGCTGTGTTCTGCTGTGCTGTGGTCATGTGCTGCTGTTTTCTTCTGCAGACAATGGGTGGAGACTTGTCTGGTAAATCTCAGAATGCAACCAAAGGGATCTACGCAATGGCTTGTGAGTAAACTGTTCTCCACATAGGGACTGGGCGTGGAAAGCTGTTTACTTACACAGGCTCTTCCTCCCAGCCCGGGATGTCTTCCTTCTGAAGAGTCAGCCTCGATACCGGAACTTGGGTCTGGAAGTTTATGTGACGTTCTTCGAGATCTACAATGGGAAGGTAAACTGACTGAAACCTCAAAGACGGCTAGAAGTGGTGAAGGCAGCCATCTTGTTAACTGTGGCCTTGGGCCTACTCTGCCTGGCATATGGACCTTTTCTCTGAAGGCGAGGTGGAAGGTCCGCCCTGTGTGTGAGCTGTTCACCCGTGACCCCAGCTTCCCCCTCCTGTGTATTCTCATGTCCACCCCCTCCCTCTCATCTTCTATTCTCTGCACTTTTGTAGAGCAAGACCTCAATAATAAAAATAGCTAATATCATTAATGGGATATTATGTGCTAAGCACTGGCTAGTCTTTTTTTCCCTCAAGAGAGGTTTCTCTACGTAGCCCTGGCTGTCTTGGAACTCACTTTGTAGACCAGACTGGCGTTGAACTCAGTCCACCTGCCTCTGCCTCCCCAGTGCTGGGATTAAAGGTGTGTGCTACCACTACCCAGCTGCTATTCTAGTCTTTTTGTCTTGACTTTACAGGCTGGGAACAGTCTAGAGTAACTTGCTCAGGGTGGCACAGCTAGTTAAGTGACATTGATGTGAACCAGGGAAGAGGGGTCTGTTACCTGTCGGCACATGCTCTGCCTTTCCTGCTCCTGGCCCTGTTCAGGCTGGGGCAGGCTCTGTAGGAAGGAGTCAGCCAGGGTACCCGGCACCTATGGCCCTATGCTTATGCCCTCTGCCTGGCACAGGTGTTTGATCTGCTCAACAAGAAGGCCAAGTTACGTGTCCTGGAAGACAGCAAGCAGCAGGTGCAGGTGGTGGGACTGCAGGAATACCTGGTCAACTGTGCTGATGATGTCATCAAGATGATCAACATGGGCAGCGCCTGCAGGTCAGAGCTGTGGCGAGGGAAGGGAACCATTGTAATACCTAGTTCAGGTAATGAGGCCTCAGATCCACACACAGGCATGAGAGCAGGAGGAAGCCATTTCTTTTTCCATGTAGTTCTCACCCCAGCAGGGTATGTGAGGGCCACTCACTACCTTAAGTGAGGCAGATCATCCCAGGAACAAAGAACAACTTAAATCTAACAAAGGTAGGCTTGCCTGGGATCTGGGATCCTAGTTTCGTCTTGTGGAAGAAGTTAGCAGTCCTGGAGACCATGGCGCCCCTATGCAAATGTAGGGGAGTGCTGGCATGGGGCAGAGGCTGCTGGGTAGTTGCAGGGCTCAGTTTTATCTCACATGCTGGGCAAGAGCTTCCTGTCTGCTCCATCTGCAGTAAGGGCCCTCGCGTTTGGTCAAGTGGTTTACGACGAGACCCTTTCCTTGTAGCTGACTCAGCTCCTCCTTACCTTCATGAGGTCTGACAAATGCCCGAGCACAAAGAATCCAGTACTGATTTGGCTGCCTGAAAAATATTAGGTCAAGAGCTGCTGTCTTGGCCGGCAAACTAGAGGTTAGAGACAGGAAGACACAGGGCTTCTTAGGATCCTGATCCGTGTCCCTGCTTTACTGTAGATTTTCCTGCTCTGCCCTGGGATGGTTAAACACTGGGGTTCCCTGGGGGTAGTGGTCCCTGAAGTTTGTAACCTTTCTTTGCCTTTCCCTCCTTTTAATAGGACTTCTGGACAGACATTTGCCAACTCCAACTCCTCCCGCTCCCATGCCTGCTTCCAGATTCTTCTTCGAGCCAAAGGGAGACTACATGGCAAATTCTCTTTGGTGGATCTGGCAGGGAATGAACGAGGAGCTGACACTGCCAGCGCTGACCGGCAGACTCGCATGGAGGGTGCAGAGATTAACAAGTCTCTCCTAGCTCTGAAGGTAGCAGGCATTTGCTGGTGGTGGCCTGGAATGGAGTGAGTAGGCTACATGAGCAGTGGAAAGAGGCTTCAGTTGTTTGTGCTGCCCCACAGGAGTGCATCAGGGCACTGGGACAGAACAAGGCTCACACCCCGTTCCGTGAGAGCAAGCTGACACAGGTGCTGAGGGACTCCTTCATTGGGGAGAACTCGCGGACCTGCATGGTGAGTCGAATGACTGCGGGTGGGAAAGTAGATCCAGAGCTGCTTCCCAGGGAGACATAGACCTGATTGTGGGCAGGGAGCTTAGTACCTCTCTCTGCCCGTGTTCTCGGGCTCCTGACTAGACTTCCACAGCCTGCAGCCTCCACCTTTCCTATAGACAAGGAGGAAAGAATCCATTCTGTAGGTGCTGAGGGCAGTCATTGCTCCTTTATCTGGTAAAAGGGGCTCTGGAATTCAGGAAGTGAACCTTAGTAGATGCAGAAGTAAGTCCTCCCCTTTCCCACAGCTTCCCTCAGGTTCCACGACTCTGCCTTCCCTGCCTTATCTCCAGGTGCTGCTAAGTGAGGTCCGCACTATCCCCCTCCCTCTGCCCTAGGAGCAGGGCCTTGCCCTGAAGGATAGGTTTCTCTGTCTAAGCTCTATTGGTATTGGTTAGTGCTGCTGCTCCCTCGTCCCCCTCTGACAGTACAGGGGATTGAACCCAGAGTTCTTACCTTCTCTTGCCAAGTATTTTATCCCAGTCCCTAAACCCTTCTCTCTGAGGCATCACCTCATGGACTGAGTGATCTGAGCAGGGGCCACCAAGCTTCAAGATGTGTCTCTGATAGACAGGATAAAGGAGCAGGGAACCTGGTCAGGCTTGCTGGCCCACCTGTAGTCACTGTCACTATGCAGCCTAAAGCTGGAGAGTCATTCAAAACCAGCCCAGGCAACATGAAGACCCATGCAGGGAACCTTTAGTTCTGTCTGGTTTCAAGATACGTGGTTTTGCTAGATAGCCTAGGCTAGCCTCAATTTCACAATGATCCTGAGTACGAGGATTATAGGTATCAGTACACACCCAGTTTGGGGGGCCTCTTTTTTTCTCTTTCTTTCTTTCGATATGGTCTTTCTATGTAATCCTGGATATCCTAGAACTCACTCTGTAGACCAGGCTGGCCTCAAACTCAGAGATCCACCTGCCTCTGCCTCCTGAGTGCTGGGATTAAAGGCATGGACCATCACACCCAACAACTCTTTTAGATTTTTAAATTTATGTGTATGGATAGTTTGCCTGCATATATGTATGTGCACCAAAGGTGTGTCTGGTGCCTCAGGTCCAGAAGAAGGTGGGATTGCAGTTAGCCATGGTTGTGAGCAGCCATGTGTGTGTTGGAAATTGAACTTAGGTCCTCTGCAAGAACAAGTGTACTTAACCACTGAACCAGCTCTCCAGTCCTTTTTCTTTTTCTTTTCTTTTTTTTTCCTAGACAGTGTCTTACTATGTAGCTCCAGCTAGCCTGAAACTCACTACATAGACCAGGCTAGCTTCAAACTCAGAGAAATCTGTCTGCTTTTACCTCCCTCATACTGGTATTAAAGGCGTATGCCATTGCACCCAGCGGTTTTTTTATTGAGTTTGTTTATTATGTAAATGTGTGCACATGGACATATGTCATGGTAGTCATGTGGAGGTCAGAGAACAATTTGTAGGAGTCTATTCTCCTCCTGTGTATATTTAGGTTGTCAGTTTTAGCAGCTAAAGTGGCTCCCATGCCCACGTGGGAACGGTTGCCTAGCAGAGCGCATGCGCGTATGAGTCCTCCTGTCCCTTGTCAGTCTCACCTTCTGGCAGCCATCCTGGTAGCCTCTAAAGAGCAGATTTTCTAGTGTGCTCACTTTGTGGTCCCCACCTCTGACCACTTGTTCCCTCTTTCTCAGATCGCCATGATCTCACCAGGCATCAGCTCTTGTGAATACACTTTAAACACGCTGAGATACGCAGACAGGTATGAGGCCTGCGTCCAGGTGGGATGGAGAAGGGAAGTGGTCGGAGCACTCCAGCGACACTGAATTTCCTCCCTAAACAGGAACTCTTCCCCTTCAGTCAGTAAAACAGTGAGGGTCTTTCCATGTCAGCCTCGGGTTTATGCCTCCTCTCCTGAGCTGAAGACTAGGCGCTACTTACCCCTTGTTACCTGAGTCTCGGTGCACTTCTGTAGTGAGTGCCCAGGGATTGCTGGTGAATTCAAAACCCTCTTAATTCCTCAGAGTCAAGGAACTGAGCCCCCACAGTGGGCCCAGTGGAGAGCAGCCGGTTCAGATGGAGACGGAAGAGATGGAGGCCAGCTCTAACGGAACCGCGGAGGCAGTCAATGTAAGGTGGGAGGGCGGGATGAAACGTGCCTTTGAAATGAGCTCTGGGCCACAGCCTTTACACTGCTGTCTCCCCTTTCTGCCTTCAGTTCTTCAAGGAAGAGGAGGAACTGTCTTCCCAGATGTCCAGCTTTAATGAAGCCATGACTCAGATCAGGGAGCTGGAAGAGAGGGCCATGGAGGAGCTCAGGGAGATCATACAGGTACAAACTGGTCCCAGCCAGGGAGGGATTGGCAGACCACTCTTTTTTTGTTGTTGTTTTGTTTTGTTTTTGTTTTTTTTTCGAGACAAGGTTTCTCTGTAGCTTTGGTGCCTGTCCTGGCACTAGCTCTGTAGACCAGGCTGGTCTCGAACTCACAGGGATTAAAGGCGTGCGCCACCATCGCCCAGCTGGCAGACCACTCTTGCACAGCCCACGGAGCTCAACTCTATTCTGGGAACATCATCTGGGCTTTGCTCCTGTTTTGTCTTTGGGTTGGGACAATGCAGCCATGAATACCTGGCTCTACTCGCCTGGAACACTCCTGTGTCCTGTGCTGCTGACTAAGGATGCAGGGGACATCATATTTATTAAGCGACTGTTCATGGACCTACCACACCTCACTCTTGTAGGCGTGAGCTCGTTCCCTGTTGAAAGGCATGTAGTCTCACTGAGCCTCAGTTTCCTTGTCTCTGTAGTAGTATTGCCTTGGAGGGTGAAGTGGTGGCTTCTGCAGCTGCCCCGCAGAGCCAGCGTGAGCTGAGCCCCAGGAAGTGGGAGGTGCTACTTCAGCTGTGCGCCTGCTATGGAGAGGGTGGGGAGCATCTCCTTCAGTGGCAGGCTGGAAGCAGAAAGAACGAACTTGTGCCACTTAGGAGACTGCTGTGAAGACATGTCCTCCCTAGCTGCTGTGTCTGGGGCACTGTGACTTGGCCGTTTCAGGACACATCAGAGTTGGCTGTGCACAGAGGAAGATAGGTAAAGGCACAGTCAGTGGGCCCTGGTGCTAAAGGGTCTTCCATCTGGCACGTACCAAAGACTCAGATTTTATTAGGATGCAGTGAAGCCTTCGAAGGGACTTCAGTAAAGTAGCAATGTGGGCAGAGCACAGGCTTGGCGTTTGGTTTTGTTTTTAATGTGGTTGAGTGTTTTTGCCTGCATATGTATGCCATTTTCATGCCGAATACCCAAGGAGGTCAGAAGAAGGTTTTAGAGCCTCTAAAACTGATTATGAGCTGCCACGTGTATCCCGGAAACTGACCTCTAGAAGAACAAGTTCTCTTAACCACCAAGCCATCTCTCTAGCTCCTGGTTTTGTTTTTTGAGACAGAATAATAAATACATAACCTTGAGCTCTCAATTCTATTTTGTCAGCTTCCCAAGTACTGGGATTTTAAGTGTGTGCCACTTAAAATGTCAGGAAAGGAAGAAAAGGAGGGGACCAAAGAGCCAGGTGTGGCGGCTTGAATCTGTGATCCCAGTATTGAGTTAGAGGCTAGCCTGGGTTACAAAGTAAGCACCTATTCTTAAACATAGGGCCAGTAGGCTCAGTGGTTGTTTTCCTGGAGTACTTGTGAGGCTCGTCAGCTGGGTACCTCCTGTTACTGCTCAGGAGTCCATAGGCCGCTCTTAGACACACAGAGAGTTCCAGGTCAGGCTGGTCTATGTGAAGCCCTGTTACAAAGGAGGGGAGGGAGGGAGTAGTTGTCATTCCAGTTCTCCTGACTCTTTAGAACAGGATCAGCCAGGCAGTGGTGGCGCAGCCTTTAGTCCCAGCACTAGGGAAGCAGAGACAGCTGGATCTCTGTGAGTTCAAGGCCAGCCTGGTCTACAGAGCTAGATCCAGGACAGGACAGCCAGGGCTACAGAGAGAAAAAATGACAGGATCAGTGATGTCATTTATTTGACAAGGGACAGCTTTGGGATAGGAAGAATCTGACTAAACTCAGGCTAAGGATTTCTTCTGTTTTGAACCAGGGTCTCTTGAAACCCAGGCTGTCCTTGAGCTCCTGAATCTTTTCTTTTTTCTTTTTCTTTTTTTTTCTTTTTTTTTTTTTAGTTTTTCCAGACAGGGTTTCTCTATAGCTTTGGAGCCTGTCCTAGAACTAGCTCTTGTAGACCAGGTTGGCCTTGCTGGGATTAAAGGCGTGCGCCACCACTGCCGGCGGGGAATCTTTTATTCTTTTTTCCTTAACATATGTTTATTGTTTGGGGGTGGGTATGGGTGCCTGTGTGGAGCTGTAAGGTCAACTTGTAGGACTCAGTTCTCTCCTACACGTGGGTCCTGGTTACTGAACTGGGGCTGTCTCTCTAACCCTACCTCCTGAACTCTTGATTCCTACCTCTGAGTGCAGAGATTATGGGCATACACCACCCCACTGCGCTCAGGCTGAGCCCTTCCTGGCTAAGAGTATGGCCTCCCGCGGATGCGACTGTGTTGCAGATGGCTGAGCCCTGAGGATGATTTGCTGGATGTTCGGTGAGTGTGAGCTGACTAGGTTCTCCTGTTGTTGCAGCAAGGACCAAGCTGGCTTGAGCTCTCAGAGATGACCGATGAGCCAGACTATGACCTGGAGACCTTTGTGAACAAAGCAGAATCTGCCCTGGCGCAGCAGACCAAGCACTTCTCAGCCCTGCGAGGTGGGTGTCGCCGCTGTACAGGTGCAGCAGTGCTGGCCTGCGGCTCCCAGCAGTACAGGCGATGGCAGTGGGGAAAGTGCTTTCAAGACAGTAACTCTGTGCCCCTCTCCTTCCTTCCAGAAGTCATCAAGTCCCTGCGCCTGGCCATGCAGCTGGAAGAGCAGGCTAGCAAACAAATAAACAGCAAGAAATGGCACCAGTGATGACCACAAATAAAGATCCGTTTGCTCTCACAGCAGCCTCTTCCCCTCCCAGCAAACCTGGGGACCTTCTAACTTTGGTTAGGAACTAAGTTGGATGGGTTGTGGGAAACACCGGGTAAGGGGCCTTAGGCCCAGGAAAGCTAGAGGAGGGACGCTCTTCTCCTCCTCAGTTTGAGCGGGAAGGAGCTTTTCATGACTGTTCTCCCCGTCTTCCTCCCTGCTGGGCTGGTTTCCCTGGTGCAGCATCCTGGCCTCCTGAACAGCCAGGCTTCGGGAGAAAAACCTGTCCTTGTCCGGCGTCGGCTGCCTCTGACCTGAGCACTCTCATGTTTTATGCTTTCAGAAAAAAACGTTTTGAGACCTCTTTGTTTTGGTTTTTTAATCTAAGAAAATCTCTGTTTTCTGTTTTATGTATTTTTATTTGTACTTAATAATAATAAAAATGTCAGACTCTGATTGTCAGAGACTGCAGTCTCTGGAGCCTTTAGGACCAAGGACACTGCCACCACCTTGGGCTCTGAGTCTCTTTTCTTCCTAGGAAACCAAGTCCACAGTTTCAGCAAGAGGCTGAAGTTCCAGCCGTTGGTTTGCATTGCACTCTCTCTACAGCCCTAGCTACAAAGCCCAAAGCTGTGGGGATTGAACCTGTTAGGTGAACTCTCCAGTACAGCTGTAGCCCTGCTGTTTAGTTTTGTTTTGTTTTGAAACAGCGAGAAAGATGATTTATTGCACACGAGTTACACTTGGCCACAAGTGAGGACAGAAGTGTTTGTGCAGAAGGCCACAGGTCCAGGGCAGAGGCCAGTGGACTGTACTGGTTGTAATGAAGATGTCAGGTCTCTCTGTGTCTGTGAGCAGATGGTGATGTCCCAGGTCCACTGAGACTTATAACTGACAGCAGCACACGGGCCAACAACGTGGACCAGCGCCCTGCCCTTCAGTATCCCTCACTTCTGCTCCTGCAGCCTTTGTGGGTGCTCCTCGGCCTCACCTGTCTCCTACACCTGAGCCTGTGCATTCGCCTCTTCCTCCACTTTGTTTTCATGGCGGGGGTTTCGAGGAAGATGGGCCAAGAGACTCTTCATTCATTATTTTTGTTGTTGTTGTTGTTGATAGAGATTGGATGTAGAAATTTATTTTTTTTTTTTGGTGTTTGAAAGCACGGTTTCTCTGTGTTTTACTGGCTGTCCTGGAATTAGCGCCAACAGGCTGGCCTTGAACTCTGAGATCCACCCACCTCTGCCTCCTTAGTGCCGGACTAAAGGTGTTTTCCACCACTGCCCAACTGAATGTAAACTTTACACATGCTCAGTACTTGCTTCATCCGTTATTAAATGCTTAGTGTATACTGATTGCAGGAATGGACCTCACTTTTCTTATCCATAAAAAATAGAAGCCAATGCCATTAATAGTAACAATACTGCTTATATGATGTTGTTACAAGATTAAGTGGGTTCTTAGTAATGCTTCAAATTCTCTTGTAATTGTTCACTACCTAGAATGTGAATCAGCAAAGAATGGCTCACAACCATCTAGAATGAGATCTGGTGCCCTCTTATAGCATGCAATCATATATGTAGGCACAACACTATATATATAATACTTTTTTGGGGGGGGTTCAAGACAGGGTTTCTCTGTTTACAGCCCTGGCTGTTCTGGAACCAGTGCTTGTAGACCAGATTGGCCTCAAACTCACAGAGTTGAGTACTGGGATTAAAGGTGTGCGCCAGCACCACCCGGCTAAATAAGTTTTTTAAAGAAACCAAACAGATGGCTGATGGCCAGAACCTGTTCCACTCATTTTCATCTGTTGGCTTTCTGAGTGAGCATATATGTTCCGTGCCTCTTACCCACTGCTCAACAACACATTGTATTTATTTCTGTTATTTCAGGCAGGGTTAGTCTGTGTAACAGCCTTGACTGCCTGGAACTCCCTCTGTAGACCAGGCTGGCCTCAAACTCACAGAGATCTGTTGGGGAATATTATTTTCAGGTGTGTGACTTTTATTTACACTGCATTTGTTTAACTCTGTGAAGCCTGTCCTAATGAGATGAACAGCCAATAGCAAGGCAGGAGCTAGGATAGGCGGGGCTGGCAGACAGTATAAACAGAAGACCCTAGCACAAAGAAAGAGCCAGAGAATGAGGAAAAGAGGAGGCCGTCAGGGGCCAGCCACTCAGACTACACAGCAAGCCACCGAGAAAGAAGTAAAGTAAGATATACGAAGTAAGAAAGATAAAAGCCCAGAGGCAAAAGGTAGACAGGATAACTTAAGAAAAGCTGGGATAGAAACAAGCCAAGGCCAGGCATTTATAGAAAAGACTCCATGTGTGATGTATTTTGGAGCAGGGAAGCGGGCCCCTCTGGAAGAACAGTGCTCTTTACCTCTGAGCCGTCTCTCTAGCCCCGTTTTGTTTCTTGAGAGAGGGTCTCACTACGTAGCCCTAACTGACCTGAAACTGGTGTACACCAGACAGTCCTCAAACTCATATCCACGTCCTCTGCGTTCAGAGTGCTGGGATTAAAGGTGTATGACACCAAGTCCAAACTGTTTAGTGTGTGTGTGCTTTTTGCAGCACTGGGAATTCAGCCCATGCCATCAAATGCTCAATCCTTGAGCTAAACTCCCAACCCCTCAGTTTATGAAATACAGGCATTTTCTGCCTTGTGGCAAAAGAAGTCTAAGATGCCATAAGTATCCTTTAAAATCTGAATTTCTGCACAAAGAATTGTGGCTGATTCCCATGTCTGAAAGAAGTGACCCACTGTCAAATAGCCAGAGGAATGGTAAATTAGTCCTGCTTGGGGTTCTTCAGTAACTTCCCTGTGACCTAATAAGCCCTGTCTGGTCACTTTCTCTCTACTCCTCTAGCTGGCCACATTTTGCAGAACAGTTTGGGAGTTAACAGCTCCCAAACTGTTTTTGAAGACAACTTTAGGGTGGCTGTCTGGTCATGCAACTGCAGAAACTGAGTGGGTTATCAAATCTCTGCTACCTGTGGGGATATTTATTTTGAAATTTAATTTAAAAATAAGGGAGCTGCATGTGGGAAGCAGAGCTGGGTGAATCTGTTTTTTTTTTTTTTTTTTGGTTTTTCAAGACAGGGTTTCTCTGTGTTCTCTGTGGTTTTGGAACCTGTCCTGGAACTAGCTCTTGTAGACCAGGCTGGCCTCGAACTCACAGAGATCCGCCTGCCTCTGCCTCCCGAGTGCTGGGATTAAAGGCGTGCGCCACCACCTCCCGGCTGAATCTGTTTTTTGAGATGACAGGGTTTCTCTGTGTAACTGCCCTGGCTGTCCTTGAACTCACAGAGATCCGCTGGTCTCTGCCTTCAAGAGCTGGGATCTAAGGCGTGGGCAAAATTAGATAGACAGACAGACAGACAGACAGACAGACAGACTGTATTCCAGAACTGGAGTATGAATGAAAAATAAAAAGGAAGGGGGCTTGGCTGCTCCTAGGTATGGTGGAGGAGAAAGCTTACTATGATAAGGGGGAGACCATAGGTAGAAGCTGAGATATCTGGGAGAATCTGGAGTGGACTTGACCAAACTGAGCTGGGCCATAAGGGGTAAGAGTTAAGGAAAAGGAGAGGGGAGACCCAGGAACCAGGCGCCGCAGCCTGGAGGTCAAAGGCACAAAAAGGAGCAGGTGATTAAAATGTCTGAATGTCTTCTCTCTATAGGGTAGAGCCTCTGGGAGAAGGGCAGCCCATCGCCAGGGCTGGAGAGTCAGGGCAGAGGGCAGGGTATGCCCGCCAGAGCCTGAAACTCGTAGGAACTGAGGCATGCTGGGAGAACCTGGGTCAGGTCTGCTTCCATATGCTAAGCAGGCACATCAAGCATTTTTCCCGGGTTTGAAGCTAACAGGGTTGTAATGAGCATGGAAGCAGATTCCTCTGAATGAATAAATAAAGGGGAATCTGTAGTGTAGATAGAGCAGGAAATTTATAGAACAAAAATGAATGTAACGGTGTAATGTAAAAGCATTTCTTTTTGTGTGTGGTATGGAAAATTACTAAGGTGAAATATTTTTTTTAATATTTATTTATTATGTATACAATATTCTGTGTATGCCTGCAGGCCAGAAGAGGGCACCAGACCCCATTACAGATGGTTGTGAGCCACCATGTGGTTGCTGGGAATTGAACTCAGGACCTTTGGAAGAGCAGGCAATGCTCTTACCCCCTACTAAGGTGAAATATTAAGAGAACATTTGCCCGCTTGAAGGCTGCCACACCCATCTGGCCCTGCCAGATGTGGGAGCTGCACCCAGCAACCGTGGTAACGAAATAATCTTGCCACACAAGAGGGACCCCCACCCTTCTGTGGCCAGTTGATACTGATAACCTAGGACATCTGGTTATCGGAAGGATCAAACAAGGGGCAATTTTGAACTGACTTAAAAGAGGTGGCTGAAGCAGGGCGGTTATCTCACTTCTCACAATGGCTCTGGCATCAGGCCCTCGTGGAAAGAGAGATCCTCCTAGCCTGCCTCCTGAAAAGCAGCAATATTGAATGCCTTGCCTAAACATTTAATGCTCTGTCTCCCGAAAACAGATATTTAACGCCTTGCATCCCGAATGCAAATCCTCATTCCCTGAGAGTGGACATTGAAGGTCTGTCTCCCGAGAACAGACTAGATACTTCTGCCTTTTAGAATGCTTTGCCATCCCGTAAGCAAAGCTTCGTCTTTTGAGCAGACAGAACGCTTTGCCATCCCGAGAGCAAAGCCTTATCTTTGAGAGTGGAGAACTAAAAGCCTTGTCTCCCGAGACTCGGTCACCCGAAAGCCAAGTCCAAGGCCCCTACCAGATACCAGCCTGGAACATCAGGACCTTATTTCCCAAGCGCAGACTACAGGGTCAAGAGTCGATCTTCGCTACCCAGCCCCCAGTGCGGACAAGAGCCCAGCCTGAAGAAATTCAAAAAGCCCTTTTTAAGCCAGGTAATATCAGGTCGTATGATGCTATTTCATGTGTGTATGAGAGGTTAAGAGAAAAGCATAGATGTGTTAATACATATGTTAATGTGTGAAATGTTAAGAGATATTTTATGGATAATTGATAAGATTAGGAAATATTAATGGATAAGTTAAGGTTAAGAAGCGTTTTATAGATAATTAATGGATAAGTTGTATTAAGGTTATAGATAAGTAATGGATAAGTTGTATTAAGGTTAAGAAGTGTTGTATGAATGTGATAAGTTAGATTAAGGTTATGACTGGTTTTATGTATTAGGTTTAGTAGGATTAATAATTGTGATATTGAAGTGCCTGTGTGTTGCCCATTATCAATCCCCCATGCCTATTGAGACTGTAACCCCATCGATGCATTGGATATTGAAGTTGCTAGTAAAGAATCATCATAAAAACAATTCTCTTGCTTGGTCTGGTCACTCATCACTCTCTGGGGAGAAGGGCACAGAGTCCTCATAGATACTACTCGAAAAGAACCTGGAGCTGAAGTCCCCCAGCTCGTAACAAGGGTATAACTGAATTGGTAGAGTGGTTGCCTGATACCCAACTTCTGCTGCCAGCAAAACTACACTCAAAAACGAACGAGAAACAGAAGACCCCGGGTCCCACAGGGTAGGCGGGGACCTAACCGACTCACTCAAGTACTCACTCTCCTACTCCAGCCACGAGCCCCCTGCCCACCTACGTAGGCCAGATAAGTTTAATTTTATTTTATTTTCTTTTTCGAGGCAGGGTCTATTTATGTGAACCTGGCTTTCCTAAAAATCACTTTGTAGACCAAGCTGGCCTCAAACTCAGAAATCCACCTGCCTCTGCCTCTGGGGAACTCGAATGGACGGCGTGAGCCGTGCCCTGCCAAGTGTAATTTTAAAAACAAACTAACAAACGGGGAAACAACAACAAAAACAAACAAACAAACAAAAAACACACTAAGGTGTGGACCGCACGGTAGTGTCCGCCTTTAATTCCCGCGTAGTTTGCTCGGCAGGTGGAAACAGAGGACCTAGGCTACAGAAGACCGGTCTCCCAAAATAAATAAATTAATTAAGGACAAAAAACGTAAGCACAACAGCGGGCAAGTGTGACCTCTCACGTCGTCTAACGGCGCACAGCAGGCTGGCTCCAGTCTGCCCAAGGTCAAGGGACCTCGCAGGGGTCTGCACCCTCCCTGGCGTCCCAGGATCCTCGAGGCCCCGGGTCCTTCCCGGGAACCGGAAGAGACGTAAAGAAGGCGGGGCTGAGTTTTAGAAACCGGACCGTGAAGCTTTGCGCTTCCTCTTTCCTGCCAGCGCCGAGCGATGGGTGAGTGTTGCTGTGGGCCGGGTCGGGCTGCGGGGAGCGAGCGCCATCCGTCTCCATCCTGCCCCGCAGCCCTGCCAGGAGCATGCTCTTCCCGACCGTGGGCCACGAGCCCACGTGGGGAGGGCCGGCCGTGGGCTTGGGCCGCCGAGATCCCCGCGGCCGCTTCCCGGGCTCCGGGCTCCAGGCTGCGAGCGGCCCATCATGGCTGCCGCGGGCCGCACGCGGATGATGACACCTAGGTGTGCTGCATACTCCCGACTGCGTCGTGGGGAGGCCAACCTTGGAGAGCTGAGTGTGCGGCCCGCCGGCCGAGCGGGGCCCCGGAGCTGGCCGGGTCGCCGGCACCGAGGCCCGATCGCTCAGGCTTGCGTCCCTGCTCCCGCACACAGGCATCTCTCGGGACAACTGGCACAAGCGCCGCAAGACCGGGGGCAAGAGAAAGCCCTACCACAAGAAGCGGAAGTATGAGCTGGGACGGCCTGCGGCTAACACTAAGGTGGGTGCCGGAGTCGGGGGGTCTCTTGTCCGAGCGCCCTGTCTGGGAGGCTGGGCGTCTCGCACGTGTCCTCGGGCGGAGGGAAGTCCTGGAGAACCCAGGGTCGGGGCCCCCCGCTCTCATGGGCACATGTTGGGGACCAGGCCTTGCAGGACGCCTAGGGGTGGGCTCCTTTCGTGTTAGCCCTGTAACGTTGGGACTTTTTTTGCCGCAGTTCCTGCTGTGTTTGCGGGGCCTGGCTTTTCTTTCTGGAGGTAATTAGAATGATGAAAAAGTATCCTTAGGCGTGGTTATGGCCGTCTTGGTCACCTGTATGCCACTTGCCCGTGAAAGGACTTGTCATAGTTACACTGACTGTTACCTCCCATCTAGCTCAGGTTCCTCTCCTGGTCCCCTCTCTTCGTGGTGACCATGTTCTGGCTTTCTTGTGTTTTCCAGATTGGCCCTCGTCGCATCCACACGGTCCGTGTGCGAGGAGGCAATAAGAAGTACCGTGCCCTGAGATTGGATGTGGGAAACTTTTCCTGGGGTTCTGAGTGTGAGTCCTTCGGCTGTATCAGAGTATTTAAGTTTGCCTTGAGGTAGCTGGAGAGTTCCTTTCCATTCTGATCTAATGAGTCCTGCAACCGCGGGGTGTTTCCTAAAGATTGCTGAGAAAAGCTTTGAATTCCAGGAAAAAGTAGTGTGGGCCAAGAGCTGAGCGGCTGGGTATTTTGCCCTTCCTGGGATAAAGGACCCTGGGGAAGCGGGTACGGCCAGTAGTTGCCCTGGTAGGAATGTTGTGTGAGCGAACGTGTGTTCGCTGGAGCCAGGTACAAGTTAAGCAAGTGCCTTGGTGTTGAGCTGCCTTCCCTGCCCCTAAATTGTGAATTTCCCTGGCACGCAGGCTGTACTCGCAAGACAAGGATCATTGACGTCGTCTACAATGCGTCCAATAACGAGCTGGTCCGCACCAAGACTCTGGTCAAGAACTGCATCGTGCTCATTGACAGCACCCCGTACCGACAGTGGTACGAGTCCCACTATGCACTGCCCCTGGGCCGCAAGAAGGGGGCCAAGCTGGTGAGTTCCTTTCCTGCTGGGGGACGAGGTGGGGGAGGGCTGCCTTCTTGTGATGAAAATTCTGTCCAGTTCTGCTACTGAAGGAAGGAGATGAACACTTGTGTGCTGAAGAAGGCAAGCGTCAGGGGATGGGGTGTTCGGGAAGATCTGGTGACTTTAATGATGACCAGTCATTTGTGTTTTCTTTATTCAGACTCCTGAGGAGGAAGAAATATTAAACAAAAAACGATCAAAGAAAATTCAGAAGAAATACGATGAAAGGAAAAAGAACGCCAAGATCAGCAGTCTCCTGGAGGAGCAGTTCCAGCAGGGCAAGCTTCTGGGTGAGTGAGATCGATGGGTGCTGTGTTGGGGGCGGGAGTTGCCCGGCTTGATTGACTGTTGAGGTGTTAGGAGGTGTGAACAGTGGGGTTCAGAAAGCGTGAGTGGAGGTTGCTGCTTGCTGTAGGCCTAAGAGGGAATTCATGTGTGGAACGGGCTGAGTGGTGGTTGGGGAAGTTGGTGCCCTGGCTGATGGCTGTCTCAGTGATGAGAACTTTGTCCAGTTCTGCTGCTGAGGTCTAAGTGAGGATAAAGTGTATCTGAGGAGACAGTTGGCTTCATGCCTGCCCTTTGGGTATCGGACCAGCTTGAGGTAGGTTGAGTGGGGCCTCTTACTAAGGACCACCTATTCTCTTACAGCCTGTATCGCCTCAAGACCAGGCCAGTGTGGCAGAGCAGATGGCTATGTACTAGAAGGCAAGGAGCTGGAGTTTTATCTGAGGAAGATCAAAGCCCGGAAAGGCAAATAAACCATCCATCATAGCTCATGTAATAAAGGTGTTTATTCTGTATTTATATTGTCGGAATGTTTCCTCCTCCCCTCTGCAAAGCTGGGCTCATCTTTGCTGTCTGACCCATGCAGCCACACTGTAAGGCCCGGTGCCTAGTCCTCGAGAACAGTGGTTACAATAAAGTCAGTACTCTGGGTCTTTTTGTTTTGTAAGGCGGGAGTTCTCTGTATAATAGCTCTAGCTGTCCTGGAACTAGCTCTGGTAGACCAGACTGGCCTCGAACTACTCACAGAGCCAAGTGCCTGGGATTAAAGGCATGCGCCACCACCATCCAGCTTCCTGGGTCTTGTGGGAGCCTAGAGCACTTTGGTATAGAGGAGGCTTGTGAGCTCTTCAGTGCTGATCTCTCCAACAGTACTGGTGTGCTTCTATGTCAGGACAGAGAACTGTCCCTTTGTAGACTTGGGTTTTCAGGGCTCTGTTAGTGTGTGTGCTAGGCATCTGCGTGTATGAATTTTTTTTTTCAGGGTGAGGTTGAATGTTTATTCAGGGGGTTATGGAGGAGGAAGGGTGAAGGGGGAACAGAGGGAGACAGAAGGGGGGCCTGTATGAATATTAAGCACATGGCTATACCACCTGCTATACTTGCAGCCTTGTTAGGTGGTTCGTGGGAAGTCTGGGGACTTGAGCATTCTGTTGAGGATCCTGACAGTTATACAGTTATACAAGTTACAAGAGATGTCTTGACAAGTTTGGGGGACTTTTTTGAGGTAGTCTCTGGAGCTCCCCACCAGGCTGATTTCAGCTCAGATTCATCTTCTACATCCTGGGTGCTGGATTAGAGGTATGCATTGCCTTAAACATTAAGTTTTAAGATTTCCCAGAGAAGTTAAGAGGAGAAATGGTACTTTATCTAAAATCAGCTATGCACCCTAACCCAAGTGGTTGGCTATCCAGTGCAGGGTCTTAATGCTCATTAAGCAAACTTTTTTTTTTTGGTTTTTTGAGACAGGGTTTCTCTGGTTTTGGAGCCTGTCCTGGAACTAGCTCTTATAGACCAGGCTGGTCTCGAACTCACAGAGATCCGCCTGCCTCTGCCTCCCGAGTGCTGGGATTAAAGGTGTGCGCCACCACCGCCCGGCATTAAGCAAACATTTTGTCTGTCTGACCTTTCAAAGGTTTGGGGGTTTCTCTATACCTTTGGAGCCTGTTCTGGAACTCACTCTGTCCAGGCTGACCTCAGACTCCGAGATCTGCCTGCTGGGATTAAAGGTGTGCAACACCACTGCCTGGCAGGTTTTGTTTCTTGTTTTGGCTGGGTTTGGTTTTTAAAGCAGGGGGTTTCTCTGTGTGACAATTATGGCTGTCCTGGAACTTTTATAGACCAGGCTTACCTCAAACTCAGATCTGCCTCCTGCCCCACTAGTGCTGAGGTTAAAGGTGTGCACTGTCCTACATGAGATCAAGTTTTTGCTTTGAGGGGAGATGTTCTAAAACAAGGTCTCTGGTCCTGGCTGTCCTGGATCTCAAATCCACCAGCCTCTGACTTCTGAGATTAAAGGTATGTGCTATCAACCCCCCAGCAAATTTTGGAGTTCATGGGGGACTTGTTTACAGTTCCAGAGGGTTAATCTATGGCCATTTTGGTGGGGAACATTGCAGCAAGTGAGTATATCACTGTAGCTGCAGCTGCATTTACAGCTACCTGAATGTAAGAGCCAGGAGATGGGTTTTAAAACCTCAAAATTGGTTTTGTTTGTTTTTTTAAAGATTATTTTATATACAGTATTCTCAGTATTCTGTCTGCATGTGTGTCTGCAAGCCAGAAGAGGGCACCAGATCTTATTACAGATGGTTGTGAGCCACCATGTGGTTGCTGGGAATTGAACTCAGGACCTTTGGAAGAGCAAGCAGTGCTCTTAACCACTGAGCCATCTCTCCAGCCCCCAAAATTGGTTTGTTTTTGAGATCAGGGCTTAATATGATCAGGGCTAGCCGTGAGCTCATAGGGGTCTGTTTGCCTTTATCTCTTTGTGTTGATTAAAGATGGGCACCAGGAGATTCATCCCGTGTCCCCACACCCTCCCACCCCGCTTGGTGTCTTGTCTGCATCCACATTGTGTACCATGTGTTTGTCTGGTGCTCAAGAAGGTCAGAAGAGGGCACTGGACCTGTTGGAACTGGAATGGGTGCTCTTAACGACTACTCAGCCTTTCTAATAAGTTAATTTTTTGATTTTTGAGAGAATTTCTCTGTAGTCCTGGCTGGCCTCAAACTCAGAGATCTACCTGTCTACCTCCCGAGTGATGGGATTGAATGTGTGTGCTGCCACCACCTGCCTAACAATCTTTTTCTGTTTTTCTATAATACTGGCTGCTCTTGAACCCAAGATCTGTTTGGGATTAAAGGCTGCCACCACCGCCTTCTAACCCCAGGGCTGTGAATATCAAATGAGGTTCATGAGCTGTATCTCTAGCTGTCCCTCCCTACCTTAAGACCGATGGAATTTAATGAATTTAATGAAGTTCATGTTTTTTTTTTTAAATATTTATACAGTATTCTGTCTGCTTGTATGCCCGCAGGCCAGAAGAGGGCACCAGACCTCATTATAGATGGTTGTGAGCCATGTGGTTGCTGGGAATTGAACTCAGGACCTTTGGAAGAGCAGGCAGTGCTCTTAATTGCTGAGCCATCTCTCCAGCCCCTGAAGCTCATGTTTTAAGAAGTTGATGTAGGAGGCTTTTCAAGAGAAAGTCAAATTCAGCTCCCTTTTGTTACACACTGACTGGGCCTGGCAGTGTGGCACACTCTTGTTTTTCCTTTTTTTAAATTTTTTTTAAAATTTATGTGTACAACATTCTGCCCCCATGTATGCCTGCAGGCCAGAAGAGGGCACCAGACCCCATTACAGATGGTTGTGAGCCACCATGTGGTTGCTGGGAATTGAACTCAGGACCTTTGGAAGGACAGGCAATGCTCTTAACCACTGAGCCATCTCTCCAGCCCCTTAATTCTTTTTAATATTAATTATACAGTATCCTGCCTGTAGGCCAGAAGAGGGCACCAGATCTCATTATAGGTGGTTGTAGACCTGGAAGAGCAGTCAGTGCTCTTAACCACTGAGCCATCTCTCCAGCCCTCTTTTTTTTGAGACAGGGTTTCTCTGTAGCTTTAGAGCCTGTTCCTTACAACTCAGCTCTGTAAATTAAGCTGGCCTCAAACCCACCTGTCTCTCTCTGCCTCTCAGTACCACCGCCACCCTTCGTGACTCCTGACTCCCACTTTTAATCCTAGCACTTAGGTGGATCTCTGAGTTCAGGGCCAACCTGTTCTACAGAGTGAGTTCCAGGACTACATAGTGAATCCCTGTTTTGAAAACAGTATTCTCCGTCATTAACATGTGTAAAAGCATTTGTGCTTCCTATATTAGCATTGGTTATCACTGGTGTGCTATTGTCTGCACATTTAAGATTTGGATAAGTGGCTCAGCCTGTGTAAACGCCTGTCACACAAGCCTGACCTAAATCTGATTTCCAGAAGCACAGGGGCTGATTCTGAAAACATCCTTTGACCCCACACACAGTGTGTCCACATCCACACAGCCCACATGAGAGGAGGGGCACACTAGCTCCTGCCTTGTCTGACCGCAGGCTTGCTATGATGCTGCTTCCATGGGCATACACTATCTTTCAGCTCTGGCTGTGCTGGTAGACAAGACTGGCATTTAACTCAGGTGTTTCCCTCCCTCTGCCCTCTACAGCATACACTTGTGATACAATTTTTTGTCTCTGGTTTTTTCAAGACAGGGTTTTTCTGTGTAGCTTTGGAGCCTGTCCTAAAATTCACTATAAACAAGGCTGGCCTCAAACTCACAGAGATCCACCTGTCTGCCTCCCAAGTGCTGAGATTAAAAGCGTAAACCACCGCTGCCTGGTGTTAGTGTTTTTGATTGCCATCGAGAGGACTCCACTGGTAAAGGCATGTGCCAGGCCTGATGACCCGAGTTCAGTCCCTGGAACCCATAGTATAGAAGGACAGAACTGATTGCAAAGGTGGGCCTCCAACACACTGATAAATGTAGTACGGTTTTCATTTTGATAACTGGAGAGGGCAGCCAGGTGATGATTCACAGTGAGCCAATGGCTTTATTCTCGTTATAAATAAAAAGCGAGCATTGCAAATAAAGGCCCCACAGCACAGCCACTGACCTGCCTTCAGAGTGAGGTTACTAGGGTAAGGAATGTCTTTTCACTTTCACACTTGGTTCTAAAACCGCTGTCACAGGCCAGCAGCAGTCCACCCAGCATCTACGCAAAACTGGAAATGCCACTTCCTGAGCTCAGTACTAAAAGGCAGCACAGAGGCTGGGGTTGGACACCAGGCCAGACTTCTAGGGATGCTGGCGTTCCCCCAGTGTTTTGGGCCTAGCTCCCCAATGCCTGAAAAGGTAACCTTGCCTCTGTGTTCTAGCCCTACGTATTTGGCCTTTATTCTAGCTTCCCCCCAAGCAATCTATCCCACTATCACGCTAAAGGAGATAAACCCTACCCCCAGCTCTAACTCCTGGCCATCTTTGCTTTCAAAGGCTGTCCCCAAATGCTTTCCCCAGTGGGAAAGTTGCTCCAAGCGCAACTGGGGAAGAAGGCAGGGTGGCAGTCTCAAGGTTCCAGGGCTTCATCCCCAGATTCCTCAGCCTCATCTATACGGCTTGCAGCCTCTTCGCCACCCAACTCGGTCCGCAAGCGAAGCAGGTGCGGAGTCCTGGGGGCACCGCGTGCTCGGCCAAAGTTCCGCAGGCTTATAGCTGGTGACAGTGCTCCTGTGCCCAGGAAGCGGCCCAGCATCGGGGTCTGCGTGGAGGGTGCCGGCAGGTCGGACCTTGGGGACGCCTCCACCTGCAGGCACTGCTCAGGGTCGTCGCTCATGCTGCCAGGGCCAAAGCGGATAGAGACAAGTTTGTATCCTCATAGGGTCCCCAGGGACTAGGCACCAGTTTCCGGGTCAAATCCCGACTCACCGCAGGTTGAAGGTGGAACCCAGAAAGGAAGGACGCAGCGACTCGGCGGCTGTGGCCACCGTATAGGGTGGCTGAGGTTGGGCCTCATCCCAGTACTGATCCTTCTCAGCAGGAGGCAGGTTCTGGTACATATCATCCACAGAGAGCAGGGACACCTGAGCCAGCAGAAGGGCAAACAGTAAGCCACAACTGTTTCTCCTCCGCACACCTGGCTATCTGCCCCCAGTCCCCTACCCCACACCTAACCTGCAAGTTTCGATCTATGAGCTGGTTGGTCTCAAAGTCATCGTCATCCTCACCAAAGGGGTTAATGAGCTGTTCAGCTACCTATGAATGGAAGAAACGGTGACTTCCGGCGCAGAGCTCCCTCCCCTCCTCCCCCCCCCCCCCCCCTCTTCTCTTCTCTTTTTTCCTTGCCTGTCTTCTTTGTAGAACACCACACCCACCTTGAGCCAACCAGCATAAAAGAAAAACTGCAGCAATGTGGTAAGAGGCACGAACATGTCCAGGTCCCCCAGGGCTGGAGAGGACCCCTCAGATTCGGTAGTCCCCGTTTCTGGCTCCACAAACTGTCGGCCCACCAGGGAAAGGGCAAAGAAGGAATATACAGCTATCGTCACCACCTGAAGGAAACGCAAGGGTCAGAGCGCCCTGGGACAACAAGAGAGTCTGTCCCCATTTTTGAGGGCCTGGAGAGGTCTGCCGAGTAGATTAGGTATGGACTACTGGGTGGCAGTAGCAAATAGAGACAAAAATCTTTTTGTTTTCACTTTTTAGGACAGGGTCTCTGTGTAGCCCTGGTTGTATTTGATGGAGCTTGTTATGTAGACCAGGCTGTCTTCGAACTCACAGAGATCCTTCTGCCTCTGTCTCCCAAGTGTTGGAATTAAAGATGTATGCCACCATGCCTGGCAGGACAGGATCATCTTTTTGTTATTTTTTTTTCAAAGACTTTCTCTGTGTAGTCTGCTGACCTGAAACCCACCTTGTAGACCAGGTTGGCCTCTTACCCAGAGATCTGCCTGCTTCTACCTCAGCTACCCGAGTGAGGGGATTAAAGGTGTGTGCCACCACTACCTGACTCGAGACCGAGTTATCTTTACGGGTGTGGAGGAAGGTTTTTGAGGATGACCCTCAGCAGTTCAGTACCTCCTGAGACTGACTTGGTCTAGATGAAGAGCCATCTCTGGCCCTTGGGATCTCACACACTATTGTGCATCCAATAGGTTCCTGAGCCGGGCAGGTAAGCAGTTACCTGGGTGTAGACAAGGGGGATGCTGATCCAGTCATAGTGAAACAGCATGCTGCACTTGGCACGGTACTTGTTCAGCTCCTAGAGAAGCAGGTGAGGGGGAGGTCAGAGGAGACAAGGGAGATGAGGAAGAAAGCAGGAGATGCCACATAAAAATGACCTGGACCAGGCTTGAGCCCCAGGCTCTCAGGTCGTCAGGTCAGGCTGAGGTGCTTAAGGTAGGAAGAAATTTCCCGCGCTGGAGCCAGAAAGTCCATGATCCCAGCTTCACTAACATACTGTGTGAGGGGCTTCTCAACTCTGCCTTTGAGAGGGGATGATAGTACCTGTCTTGCAGGGTTGTTTTGAGGACTAAGTGAGTCAACACAAGGACATGCTTCCCAAGTACGCAGTTGCTAGGCCTGGTGGCTCATGCCTGCAATTCCAAAGTTTAGGAGGCAGCGGCAGGATTAACACGGGTTTGAGGCTAGCCTTGGCTAAGTAGTGAGTTTCAGGCAAGCTTGAGCTATGGAGAGTAATCTTGTACACCCCCCCCCCAAATTGTGTGGCATATAGTTCGTGCCTTTTAAGTGTCAAGTACCAAAAATATTATTCTGAAGCTGGCGATAGAACCAAAGATCCAAACCCTAAGCTGACTTACTTCCAGTATGAGACAGAGAGCAATGTCATCACGAATTCGTCCATCCCTGCGGGCCCGCGCGGCGAGGTTAGTGAACCAGACGCAAGGGACCCAGTACTTGTTAAAATCAGATTTCAAGCTCTCAAACTTTTTCCTCTCTTCCTGAGACATGAAACCTGCCAGGGTGAAGAAGGTAAGGTGCAGACGTCTCCTGCCGCCAGGGGGCGCTAGGAGTCCAGCATCTGGCTGGTCTCCCTTAGACCCACTGACTTCTCTGGAATCCTGGAGCGCCCCCTAAGGGTCAAACTTTTCCATCACGAGAGGAAAGCCAAGCCATCCAGCCACCCACCCAGGGGCTGCGACCACCCAGGCACCTGCATCCACCACGTGCTCCATAGTGGGGAAGCGCTTGAGCACACGGGTGCTCACGGAACGGAGCACCAGCACGGATGCCAGGTTGGCATAGCGGATGAGAGTTCGGCGTAGTAAACGGCCACTCTGGTCCACACCGTGCACACAGGCTGAGATGACACACATTAACTGGTCCGGCAGGGGGATGCTTGTGTACTGAGACCACCATCGGTTCACCACCAAAGTCACGTAGAAACCTGGTGAGCCACCGTGGATAACAGGGCCAGAAAGAAAGGTGCCAGGCATTAGGGTGGTACTGTATGGGACTCTGGGGCCCTTCTGGTTCCACTCCCTGACTGGGAAAGTCGGGCCCGGAAGAGGCAGAGAAGACAAACTTCCGGATTATTTTTGACTCTGACACCTTTTCTCTAGGAGGGTAGGGAGGGATTATCCCTTCTCTCTAGCTCCCCTTTGGTACCCAGAGTGGGGTTTTAAGGCCAGCTGGTGTGCCAGTGAAGATTGAGGGGCCAGCAAATGACAGGCAAGAAGTGACCCAGAGAAACTGTGGACCCAGGCTCTAGTCCTTTTGTCTGCTGATTGACTCAAGGCGAAACTTCCCAGAGCTGTCCCCTCAACCCAAAGGTTAGAGCACATGGTCAGGAGACCAGGGGAAACTAGACGGGGGCCTCACCCAGCACGAAGGACAGAGGGATGAGGTCTGCTGAGCGGTTGCAGTATCGGGCCACCTGGGCATAAATATGCTTCTGCTCCTGGGTCAGCAACAGCCTAGGGCACACAGGGCAGAGACCCGGGTTGGAAGGAGGCCGGCAGCACAGGTCTTCACGGGCCAGGGTTCTGAGCTGCTCTCACCGGTACGTGATGCTGAGTACAGCATACAAGGCACCAAAGAGCAGGAACTCTTTGTACAAGAGCTTGTAGATGCTGCCCCTCCAGCGGAGGAGCAGGCCAGAGAAGGCTCCAAAGCGCGCCTCTGCCACCTTGAGAGTGTAGGACACCGTCATGGTGCTGGAGTCTGGTGCAGGTCACAGGGCTGTCTTCTTTGCTCGTCTTCCCATCTCTAAGACTAGCACCCCAACCAAAGTCCCTTCATCTCCGGTCACTCATCTTCACCCTGTGTCTGTAGACAGACAAAGCTGTAGGACAGACAAGTACAAACTGTCCTCTGCAGAACATGGCTGAAGCCAGGATGGAGTCGGGCAGAGTGGTGCTGAGCTCTGCGCCCCTCACACAGAGGTCCTCCACAGCCTTTCCACCTCTGGAGCTGAGCTAACTAGATTCTGAAGTGTTGAGGACAACAGCCCCAATTTGTTAGGAATGCTGGCGCGTGTCTCCTATCCCAGCACTCAAGGGAGTCAAGGCAGGAGGTCACCAGTTCAAGACCAGCCTATGCTATATAGCAAGGCCTCGTCTCAAAACAAACAGGAGGCTGGAGAGATGGCTCAGTGTTTGGAAGCACTGGTTGCTCTTCCAGGGGACCCGGGTTCAGTTCCCAGCACCGTCATGGCAGCTCACAACTGTCTATAACTCCAAGATCTGACACCCTCGCACAGAAACACATGCTGGCAAAATACCAATGAACATAAAATAAAAAATAAAGAAAGAGAACCAGACCCGACTCCAAATCAGAGCCACCACTTTTCCTTGGAGCTTTTCCTCAAAACCTACTCACCTGGTATCCCAGGCCCCAGGACCCCCATCCACTCGCCTCTGCCTACCTGGTCTCAGGAGCCCCTCACCTCCACTCACCTGCCTACCTGGTCTCAGAAGCCCCCTACCCCCACTCGCCCCTGCCTACCTGGTCTTGGGAGCAGCCTAGAATAACTGAACCAGACCGCTCTTCACAGTCTTAAGTAGCTGCTGGGCCCATAAAGCTAGGTTGGACTGGCGCTGTCATTGATGGATAGGAGCTGTCATCGAGTTGCTTCTGGGAACTAGGTGTGTGCTGCTATCCCTTTGGGGCTGGGCTGGTCTTTGAGTAACCAAAGTGCCAGGTGTCCTGACCCCACAACTCACACAGGGGACGCCATGTCCTTTAATTGAGGGACAATAGGGATTACTATCTTATGCTCCGGGTGAGATGGCAGTTTAGGGTAAACTTGTCACAATATCAGTGTCTGATCGCAGAGTCCTAACTTAAGGGACAGACAAACACTGTGCCAAGGACACCATTTTATCTTCCTCTCATGGAATCTTCATCACAACCCCATCGTGTGCCCAGTTTCACGGATTATAGATCCAAGAGGCAAATGACTTGCCCAAGGTCACACAACTAGATCATGTTGGAGGCAGGAGTCCAAGCCACGGCTTCTGGACTTGAAAGGCTGGAAGTTGCCTAATTGGGCCTAGAGCACTTGACACCAGCAGCCTCAACACAGTGCCAGACTTCTGTCCCAGGCTCTGGAGGGCCTGGTCAGGCACCACATAGGGTGAAAGAGCGTGTGAATCTAGGAACTCAGCATGACATACATACATCCTTTTGCCCAATGCCTCGACTCCTGGATGCTCTCAGGGTCTCTCTCTCTCTCTCTCTCTCTCTCTCTCTCTCTCTCTCTCTCTCTCTCAGTTTTTTTGAGACGTTGTTTCTCTGTGTACTCTGGAACTCATTCTATAAACAAGGCTGGCCTTGAACTCAGAGCTCAGTCAGCCTCTGCCTCCCAAGTGATGGGATTAAAAGTGTGAGACACCACCACCTGGCTACTCTCTCTCTTAGATGTTTGTTTTAATTTATGTGTGTGTGTGGGGGGGGTAAATGTATGTATGTGCACCACATGTATGCATGGGCTCACAGAGGTCAGAAGAGGGTGTTGGATGCCCTGGAACTGAAGTTATTGCCTGCTGTTTGCTGCCTGATGTGGGTGCCAAGAACTGAATCCAGGTTCTCTGGGAGAGCAATATAATATGTTCATGCTCCTAACTGCTGAGCCCTTTCTCCAGCTCCAAAACAGAGCATTTTAATAATTCTTTGAGAATTTCATACAGTGTATTTAATCATGTTCACCCCTCCTCCCCAACTCTAAATCTATCCCAACCCCCTACTCTCCAATTCTCTCTCTCTCTCTCTCTCTCTCTCTCTCTCTCTCTCTCTCTCTCTCTCCCCCCCCTCCCCCCTCTCCCCCTCTCTCAGCTCACCAAGTCC